CTAATATTAATTTACTAACCTAAAAAATTTAAATAAAAAAATAAAATTATTAAATAATAATAATAATAATAATAATACCAAAAAAATTAAAATCACCTAAATATTATATTAATATTTTTATAAACTTAAAAATTAAAAATTAAAAAAACTACAAAAAAACAAAAAAATATATATAAATCTTATATTATTATTTTAATATTAATTTTATAACTTAAACAAATATAAAAAAAATAACAATATAATTAATATATAAAAATCAAAAAAATTATATAAAAAAACTATAAAATATATATTATATTGTTATAACACAATCTTATAACCTACAAACCTAAAAAAAACAATAAAATTAATATACAAAAATTAAAAAAATTATTTACAAAAAACAAACTATAAACAATATATTACATTGCCATTTCAATACTAATTTCAAAACTAGTAAACTTAAAGAAAACTAATTAAGTTAGTAAACAAGAATTAAAAAAATCATAAACTAAAAAAACTACTTACAAAAGAACAAACTAAAAAAACTATTTATATAAAAACAAACTACAAGTTATATATTAGTGCTGATTTTAAGACTGGCAAATCTAAAGAAGACAATAATAAAGTTAGTAGACAGAAATCAAAAGAAAATTATTCACAAAAGAACAAACTACAAGCTATATACTACATTACCATCCTGGTACTAATTTCAAGACTGATAAATCTAAAGAAGACAATAACAAAGTTAGTAAACAGAAATTAAAAGAAAGCTATTCACAAAAGAACAAACTACAAATTATATACCATATTACCATTCTGGTGCTAATTTAAAAACCAGTGAACCTAAAAAAAACAATAACAAAGTTAGTAAACAAAAATCAAAAAAAAGTCATCTATAAAAAAACAAACTACAAGCTATATACTATATTACTGTCCTGATGCTAATTTAAAAACTAGCAAGCCTAAAGAAGACAATAATGAAGTTAGTAGACAGAAATTAAAAGAAAGTCATACACAAAAGAACAAACTACAAGCCATATACCACATTACCATCCTGGTGCTAATTTAAAGACTAGTGAACCTAAAGAAGACAATAATGAAGTTAGTAAACAGAAATCAAAAAAACCATATACAAAATAATAAACTACAAGTCACATATCACATTACTGTTCTAGTGCCAATTTCACAACCTGGCAAATCTAAAGACAATAACGAAATTAGTAAACACAAAACAGCAAAAAAAGAAATATAAAAAAAGAAACTAAATTTCTTAACCACTATCTCAGTACTGATTTTACAATCTAGCAAACCTAAAGAATAAAGAAGACAATAATAAAATTAAGCAAAAATCAAGAAAAAAAAGTTAACAATCTAAAAGTTATATACTACATTACCATTCTAGTACTGATTTACAACCTGGTGAATCTAAAGATAAAAACAAAGTTAGTGGGCAAAAATTAAAAAAAAAACTATACACAAAAGAACAAACTACAAGCCAAGTATCATATTACCATCTCAGTGCTAATTTTACAATCTAGAAAACCTAAGACAAAAGCAAAGTTAGTAAGCAAGAATCAAAAAAAAAACTACACACAAAAGAACAAACTACAAGCCAAGTACTACATTATTGTCCTAGCACTAATTTCATGACTCAGCAAATCTAAGAAGACAATAGCAAAGTTAGCGAGCAAGAATCAAAAAAAAAACTGCAAACAAAAGAACAAACTACAAGCCAAGTACCACATTAGCATTCTGGTGCTGATTTTATGATCTGGTAAACCTAAGGAAGACAATAATGAAGTCAGTGAACAATAATAATAAAAAAAACTACACACAAAAAACAAACCACAAGCCACATAATCATAAATACTGTCCCAGTACTGATTTCAAGACCAGCAAATCTAAAGAAGAGAATAACAAAGTTAGTAAACAAGAAATTAACAAAAAAGTCATACATAAAAGAATAAACTACAAGCCACATATTCATAATTACTGTACCAGCACTGATTTCATGACTTGGCGAACCTAAAAAAGACAATAATGAAGTTAGTAAGTAAGGATAAAAAAAAATCATTATAAAAGAATAAACTTCAAGCTACATATCTCATAGTTACTATCCTGGCACTAATTTCACAACTTAGCAAACATAAAGAAGAGAATAACAAAGTTAGTAGACAAAAAATCAACAAAAGAAAGAAAAAATTTTTAAATGAACCTTAGTAATAATTATTTATATAGCCATGTAACTATCCATATAATAAACCATGATAATTAAAATTAAACACACTAATCATTCGATGAAGTGGAGTGATAATGATATTGCTAAGACCATAATTCTGAATAATTTTTTTGAGAAAGGATGCTAAAAATACTTTTAATTAGAACTAAAATAAGTTATAAAAATATTTTTAAGATTTCAAATTTATAATAAATATATACAGATTAATATAAATATATATATGAATAGGGCAGTAAATATAAAAATTTTGCTTCTAATTGATAAAATTATTTGTTTTGCGAATGTATTTATTTATTAAAAGTTACAATTTTTTAATTGAATTTAATGCTTTTTAATTCTAAACAATTAAATTCAAAAAAAAAAAACAGTTACATACATTTATATATTTGAAAGCAAATTTATTAAATGTAAAAAAATTATATACCTATTTTATCACTGCATTGTTATCTAACATTACAATTATTATCTATGATTTTATGATTATTACCTATGGTATTACAATTAGTTTCAATATTGTTATAAAAAGAGGGAAGAACTTGTTGGTTTGTTTGTATTTGCATACAATCACGTTCCAGACTTTTTATACTTCTATAATATGCTTGTATATTTTGCATATGTATATAGTCATATTCTGTTACTAAGAAAGTATTAGAAATTTATTTTATAATAATAAAGTACTATGAAAATACTATTTACTTGGTTTTTTCCAAAAATGTGTCTGAAACTCCTTATAATATTTACAACCATTTTTGGTTTGTTTACTATTAAGACTTCTGTTAATATATAATTTTATTTTTTGTAAAAATTTTTAATAATTATAGCCAGAGAGATGTAATTATTTATTAATTTGAAAAATATTACTTTGTAGTCTTGTATTAATCCTTGAAATTTTTCTTTATACTGAGTTCCCAAATAATTGGTCCTGAATTCAAAATTAATACAGCTTGCAACACCTTGCCAAAATATAATTTTCTTATTATTCACAAGTTTGTGATACTGACTATTTTTTTCTTTTTGCTTATCAATAAGCATACATAATTAGTTTATTATCCATATTATAAAATTTGAGAAACCTGAAAAATAAAAGATCCTTTTATAATAAAAAAGCATAATATTAGTAACATATTAGACAAAAGCATTAATTAATTAATTCTAATATAGATTCGCATAAACTGAGTCTTAATAGCATAGTATCCAATATAGGGACAGACTAGAACAATTACTACCTGCCAGATGGTGACTTTCTCAGTCTATTCTTAACATATCAAGTATTCTTAAAATTATTGCTTCTATATTTATATTTAACACATAATAGATTTATTTAAATTTTAATATTAATATGTATGCATATCAGAAGTCTTAAATTATTATTATACATATAATCTGATAATTATGTATAACAATAACAATAAATAATTTCAAGTTTCATGTGTTATAGTATTATGAAACAATGGCTCTTTTTTATTACTGTTTATTGTAAAACACCTGTAACACACCCATGATACACTCATGCATATCAATACTATTTATTATAAAATATCCATAACATATTTATGGTATACTTATAGCATATATATTAGATAAAATTTTCAGAATGGTTAAGAGATCCAGTACTTAGAATTCTACTTTTATGATTGTTACAAACTTATAAATGTAGAATTTCAAAATTAATATAAAAAATGGAACCACAAACTATATACAAGTAATCTAATTACCATGATTCACTTTCAGCACTGATTTCACAACCTGCAAATCTAAAGAAAACAATAACAAATTAGTAATAAGAATCAAATAAAGCCATACACAAAAGAACAAACTACAAGCCATATACTACATTACCATTCCAGTGCTAATTTTATTACCTAGTGAACTTAAAAAAGAAAATAATAAAATTAGTAAGTAAAAATCAGGAAAAAAACTTCTACAAAAGAACAAACTACAAGCCATATACACAACATTACCATCCTAGCACTGATTTCACAACTCAGCAAATCTAAAAAAAACAATACCAAAGTTAATTAGCAAGAATAAAAAAAAGTTATCCACAAAAGAACAAACTATAAGCCACATACATATTACCATTCTGGTGCTGATTTCAATACCAGCAAACCTAAAGAAGACAATAATGAAGTTAGTAGGCAAGAATAAAAAAAAACCACACACGAAAGAACAAATTATAAGTCACATACACATTACTATACCAGCAAAACTAAAGAAAACAATAACAAAATTAGTCAGCAAGAAGTCAAAAAAACTTACTTACAAAAGAATAAGCTATGAGTTATATATCATATTACTGTGTGATGAACCTAAAAACAATAATCAAATTAGTAAAAAAGAACCCAAAAAAAGTTACTATAAAAGAATAAACCACAAGCCACATACCATAATTATCATCCTAGTGCTAATTTCATGATCTGGTGAATCTAAAAAAGATAATAGTAAAGTTAGTAAGCAAGAATAAAAAAAAAGTTACAAAAATAACATACAAACAACATACTCTATTATTGTTCTGATGCTAATTTTATGACTCTGAGAACCTAAAAAGACAATAACAAAGTTAGTAAGCAAGAATCAAAGTTACTTACAAAAGAACAAACTACAAACCATATACCACATTACCATCCTGATGCTGATTTCAAGACCAGCTAATCTAAAAAAAACAATAATGAAGTTAGTAGGTAGGAATTAAAAGAAAGTTGCTCATAAAATAACAAACTATAAGCAACATTACTGTCTTGATACTAATTTCAAAACTGAGAACCTAAAGAAGACAATAATGAAGTTAGTAGACATAAATCAAAAGTCATTCACAAAAGAACAAACTACAAGCCATATATCATATTATTATCCTGGTGCTAATTTAAAAATTAGTGAATCTAAAAAAGACAATAATGAAGTTAGTAGACAGAAATCAAAAGAAAAGCACTTATGGGAGTGTGGCAACCTAGTGAAGTGGTCAGGTTGTCAACCCCCAAGTGGCAGGTTCAAAGTTCAAATCTCAGTGTTAACAGAAAATTTGAAAATCCTTCCTGTGTTACAGTTAACTGTCTTTCGCAATTGGTTGGAATAAGATATCTGTAATCTGTGTCATACTAGCATGACTGGCAGATCATATGGCATTTGTGTAATGGTCACATGACATTGTCTTTTGGGACAAGGTCTGTAGTTACACAAAGGAATGCAAACTGGTACCAGGTGGTGCAAACTTACAATAAGTCTTTGTGGCTATGTAAATCATAGGAACCAATAGAAGGAGATGAAAGCCCACTTGGAAGACCCGAGTAGAGAGGTAACCCAAACTTTCGACAGTGCTACTGTAAAGACTAGACTTGTGAAATGGAGC